AATAACATATACAAAAACTAACTTGTAGGTGTGGTGGCACATGCCTGTACTTTCAGCACTTGGGAGGCTAAAGCCAGGAGGATTGCCACAAGTTCAAGGCCAGTGTGAATTACATATTTAGACCCTGTCTCAAAATAATAATAATAATAATAATAATAATAATACATATAAATTGGGCTATACCATAAAACTGGTATCAAAAAACATTATCAACATTGAAAGACGCCCCACAATGAGAAAACATATTTGCATATCATATGTCCAATAAACAGGTAATAATCCATAATATACAAAACTGAGCAGTAAAAGAACAACCCTAATAAAAGTTGAACAAAGTAACTGAGTATTTCTCCAAAACAGATATAACAAACCAATAAACTTCTGAAAAGATGCTCAGTTGGGCCGGAGAGTCAGCTCAGTGGCATTAGCGCCTGACTGGCACGCTCAAAGTCCTGAGTTCGATTCCTAGTACTACAATAAAATTTTTAGGGCCAGGGAGATGACTCAGTGGAATAAACGCTTCCCTGGCAAGCACAAGGATCTGAGTTCAATCCCTGGCTCTGAAAAACAAGAAAAAGCTCAGCATCAGTAATCATTAGGGATCAATCAAAACCACTCTGAAATACCATTTACAAATACCATCCAAATGAGGATGGTTATTGTTAACAAATGAAAATAAATACAGAATAACAAGTGCTAGGATTTGAAAAAACTGGAACCCTTGCATACTGCTGGTGGGAGCAGCTATGGAAACAGAATGATAGTTCCCACAAAATAATTAAACACAGAATCTCCCTATAATCCAGCAGTTGTTTTCTGGACACACCGAAAGAACTGACAGCAAAGACCTGAACAGATTCATACATTTATATTTAGTAACAGCATTATTCACAAGAGCCCAAATGATGATGCAACTCAAATGTCTACCAATAGATGAGTAGTTGAAGAAAATATCATACAATGGAGCCTCAAAAAGGAAAGAAATCCCAAAACGTACTGCAACGTGGATGAACTTCAATAATATTATCCTAAATGAAATAAGCCAGTCACAAAAAGATAACAGTGTATGATTCCACTTATCGTATGTACCCAGAGTGGTCAAATGGAGACAGAATGTAGAGCAGTAGTTGCCAGAGGCTTTATGAAAAGGATAATAGCTATTATCATGTAGTATTATCATGTCAGTTTTGGAAGTTAAAAAGGTTTTGTAGGGCCGGCTAGATAGGTCAGTGGACTCAAGCGCCTGCTTAGGCAGAGCTCAGTGGCTGGGGTTGGAGCCCCAGCTTGCTGTGCTGGCCCCACCCTGGGGCGCACTGGGAGGGCGATTGAGCCTGGGTGTGGTGGCGCGTGTCTGTAATTCCAGCTCTTGGGAGGCTGAACACAGGAGGATCGCTACGAGTCTGATCTGTGTAGTGAGATCATGTTAGACCCTGTACTAAATACATTTTAAAAAACTAAAAAAAATCTATGATTTCTCCTTTAGTGATGAAGAAACACAGACACACTATTCATTAGTGAAACTAGGCAAAGAAGGTTAAAACCAACTCCAAGAATTTATTTTTTTCCCCAAGAATTTATTATAAGCCTTTAAGTATACACTGACAGGACTTATTAGATGACCCAGATGAAAAATGGCCCAGGTAAATAAATATCCTTAAATAACTATTGTGGCTACAGCTCCTTGAAGTGCCAGTGATAGCCCTTAACTACATAATGTCGGCTGAGCATGGCTGAACATACTAACCACAGAACAAAACAGAAATTACTATTCTGTATATCTTTTTTTTTTGCTTATCTTTAATGACAGTAATCTCAAATATGTAAAAAGCAAATACTCACCAGCAAGAGTCCTAGAGAGTGGCAGATGTATGCTTACAAGATCTTCAGACACCTTGTAAGACTTAGTTTCCAAAGTATGACCGCACAGCTGTACCACTGTCTTGCTACCACCTATGAAACTTGTACTGCATCTCATCACAGCTTTGTGACATTCTTTATAAGCCACTAGTAGGAGTTCTTCCTGGAGAAAGTAAAAATGCAAATATGTCAGCAAGTTAGCTGCTTTAGCACTTATTATTCAGTAAATATTAAATATGAGTAAAAACTTACTCTGTAAATTATTAGAGCTATTTCCATAAGATCTGCATATCAGAAGGAAATGTATATAGCATACACACTTACAAGTAGAGTAAAAACTTTTAAGTACCATTAAATGGCACAAACTGTTTTGGCAGTGGCGGTGGGGATGTGTGAAACAGTCTCTCCATGCAGTGCACAGTGCAGGATGGCCTGAGCTCACTATGTCGCTCAGGATAATGTCGCACTCAGTGATCACCTCCCCTCCAGCTTCCTGAGTGCTAGCACTATAGGTCCTATAGATGTGAGCCACCATGCCTGGCTACAAACTCATTTTCTTAAGACAAAGTGTAGAGAGAGAGTTTTGAGACAAAAGCCTGATGTCCCAAGAGAGTAGGGAACACTGGACTGAGCCCGAGGAGGGTTGCTGTCTGTTTGCAAATTCCCAGAAAGCTGGGACCCAAAGCAGCAGATAACAGCTTCTCCTGCAGGCGCTCTGTCCTTTGATCCCTTGCTTGGGATGTTATCGGCTAGCATTTGTGTAAACCTAGTGTTAGGCAAATGGTGGAAGTCAACAGAGATAGTAGTTTGTATTCACTTAGGTAATTATGCACCTTCCTTAGTCTGCCTTTACCCTTCAATAAATGTGAGATGCTTCTGAGGCTCTGGGCTCACTTGGAGAGAGACTAATCTCAGTGAGACCGCTGAAGCTACATTCATCAGGTCTTCTGGTCGTTTCTTTCGGCACCGAACTAACGAAAGAAGAAAACCCATAATTTAAATATGGGGAAAGATGAAAAAAAAATGGTATTCTAAGCAAGGATGTAGAATAAACAAACACAAAAATAAGGGAAAACATGTTTCTATTCAGATAGTGAAGGAGAATGTAAACTAGACAAACCAAAAGTTTTATGAAAATATTTCTTGATACTAGCATATGAACACAGCAATGGTGTTTGAAGTACAATGTAATCAAAATTTTGTTTAAAGAGAAGTTAATGTGTGTCACTAAAAGTGACAGACTGGAGAGGGTAAAATTAGGAGATAACCAAACCAGCAGGAATAATTAATAAAAATTCCAGGTGAGAATGGCAGGAAAAGAGAAGAGTCAAAGGTCATTGAGGTCAATCTGAACAATGTTTCTATCACTGGTTTTATCTTGAAAAAGGAACCATATGCTCAGATAAATTTTGGAAACATTCCTTTTAAAAAGTAGCATACTGGGGCTGGAGAGATGGCTCAGTGGTCTAAAGCACCTACTTGAAACAAGCTTGTCAAAGCACAGGGACTGCGGTTTGGTCCCCCAGCACCACATGCCAGCCAGCCCCGCCCCCTGGTGGGCTGAGCTGGCCACACACACACACAATAAATAAATGTAATAAATAAATAATTAAAAAAAAAAAAAGTAGCATACTGGCCTGGACTACATCTTGAGACCATGTCTCAAAAACCAAAACATTAGTATGTTGATTAAAAGGTATTAATTTAGTAGCTAAAAACACCCTGCCATTTTGTTTAACCCCAAATTTCCCAATTATATGTGAAGCTAGAACTTTTTTCTCTTCAAAATATCTGTTAACATCAAACATACAGCATATAATGATTCTGATATTTTTCCTTTTTTTTTTTTTTTTAATTTTAGGGAAGGGTCTACAGGGTGTTCAGGGTCTCACTACTAGATTGGACTCATAGTGATCAGCCTGTTTACAGCCTCCCAAGAGATGGGATGACAGGCGTGTGCCACCATATCCAGTCTCAATTGCCATTTCAGCATGCCCCCGGGGGACAGGGAAGGCACAGCAGGCCTGGGGATCGAATCCCTGGCCCCTGTGCCTGTTTGCAGGTGCTTTAATCTGCTGAGCTATTTGGCCGGCCCTCTGAGATTTTTCTTTATGGGTGAAAGTAGCAGCACCGTCAATAGAATAAGGGAAGGTAAAACAAGAAAATGCGAACTGGAAGTAGAAGGAAATAATGACAAATCAACTTAAGGTATTCTGAGTTTGGTGAATAGGAATAACTGCCAAACAGGTGATACTATAGCTTGGGCGAATCATCCCTATGAAGATCTAATTAAGAAGTAGTAATGGGGGTGCTGGGGAGATGGCTCAATGGAATAAGCACTTCCCTAGCAAGTGCAAGGGTCTGAGTTCAATTCCCCAGTTCCGCAAAAAAAAAAAAAAAATGGGGGGGGGCAGGGATATGGCTCAATGAAATAAGCTCTTCCCTGGCAAGCGCAAGGGCCTGAGTTCAATCCCCGGTTCTGCCCCCCCACCCCAAAAAAAAAGAAAGAAAAAGAAAAGAAAGAGAGCAATGGGGAGTGTCACCCAGCAGACAGAAGGAACTGGAGAAAAGAAAAGTCACTGATTGATACTGGTAACTGATAACAGAAGTATTAGGATAGCAGACTTGTGAAAAAAGAGACAGAACAGCTTGAGAAGCCTAAGACATGTAACTTACTACAATTCTACAGGAAGATGGGGACAAAGACCTCTACATTTGGTTACAGTTTTTATCTCAACATAGTTGTAGTAAATTGGAAAATATAAAATCTGACCCTAAACACATGTAGATGATCTCAGAAGGTTTGGAAGGTGTGATGATAGCCAACATACACCTTGATCCAATCTCCCAACAACTGTGCATGCCATTTCAGTATTTGAAGAAGGTCATAATCTAAAGTTGTTGCTTAGGAAACTGCATTATTTCTGTATCTGCAAACTAATTTTTAAAAATCTATTAAAAATTTTATTAAAATGTTTATTAAAATTTAAATTAGTGTTTTCATTTTGTTTTTGCAGAATTGGGGATTGAACTCAGGCCCTTGTGCTTGCCAGGTAAGTACTTATTCTACTGAGCTATCTTCCCAGCTCCTAAAATTTAAATTATTAGAAAAATAAAATTATAATTATTACCCTTATTTATTAGAATTTCACATGGTCTAACAGATGTACTAAAGCTCTTGATTGAACATTCAATCCTTTCTAGTCCTGAAATATTTAAAATCTATATGATCTTAATTATCATCTTAATATTCATTTTCTTTTTTTCTTTCATCTTTTTTAAATTTTTAAATTTTTTATTTTATGTATTTAGTACAGGGTCTATAGGGTCTCACTACATAGATCAAACTTGTAGCAATTCTCCTGTTTTCAGCCTCCCATGCACTGGAATTACAGGTTTTTAATCCCATACCCACCTGCAGATATGCATTAAACACTGTATTTCCTCCAAACGAGCACAACCACCCTGAGATACATTTTCTAATCAAGGATAAAAGATTGAATTTTCCCCTAAATAGGACAAATTTAAGAATCTGAGAAATGTATACTAAATATATAATAAAAATTTACATCAAAGAAGTTCCAATATATGTGAGCACTCAAAAAGGCAGGGTCTCCAGTAACATCTTACTTACATCACAGGCGCACCACTCTTGGAACATGAGTAAAATATTTTTCAGCTGCATCTGTATAGCAATGGCAGCCTCCCAGTCAGGATCTACTTCAATGTGTTGCCCAACCTGTCTTCTAATTTCTTCCATTCCCTGCAAGAGAAGATTGGTCAACACTTATGACACTCTTTGCTCTTCTATTTGCAAAATGTAAGACTGTCAAGATCCATATTTATAAATGCACAGCATTTTAACTTTTAACATGGCTGTTACACTAGATCAGAATACAGAGGTTCAAATACCACCTATCAGGGTTATAGTTCAAGGAATAAAATCTCTAACTGCAAATATCTGTTCTTTCTTGCTATGTATCAGGCCAAGTTATATGATGCTAGACATATTACTTTTAAGCTTCTATCATTACATGTAAAATGAGAATAATACTAGCCAACTACCTCATAATATTTTTGTAAGACTCAAAAGAGATAATGCATATAAAATGCTTACTATACATACATCACATGACAGACATTCAAGAAGTATTAATAGTAGCAGCAATAGTAAACTAAGGTATAGAGAAGATAAAATTAGGATTAGTCAATGTTTAAATCTTATTTCTATTTTGCTATGTAAAATTTGTCATAAAACCCGTAATTTTGAAAGAAGCATGAAGAAGAAAAAGGAGAAAGGGATGAGAGGAGGAAGAGAAGAAGGAGGAAAGAGGAGAGGAAGAGGAGGAGGAAGGAAAAATAGGAGAGGAAAAAAAATGAGAAAGAGAAGGAAGAAAAAAGAACAACAGGAGCAATAACAACACTAAGTTTTTAACACTACCTTTTTAAAATAAAATTTTCTCACTGATGTGCAAAAGAATTACAATACCTGCATACAGGTAAGAATCTTCAAAAAAGATCGAAAGCCTTCAAGGAATTGTATTCTTAATTTTTCTGTCCATACTGTGGGCTTGCTGATCAGGATATATCTATCATTTTGAAGAAAGACAGAAATATTTCATTCGTCTGTCTTGACATATTTAAGGTTCTCAGGTTATAAACAACGATGCCCCCCTCCCAAAAAAAAGACAATGGTGCCTTGCCAAATTATGTATTCTAATTTATTAAAATAATTAGACACACTGAACACAGACAGAAGTATTTATTAACTTTTATTTTACACACAAACAGCAAACTCTGGAGATACTCTACAGATATTAAAGTTAAGGATACCAGAGAAAGACCCAACTAAGAAAAGAGAACTACAAGCCAATCTCCCTAATGAACATAGATGCAAAGACCCTCAATAAGATACTGGCAAACAATGCAGCAAATCATCAAGAAGATTACACAGAATGACCAAGTAGGATTCCGCCCAGGAATGCAGGGATGATGCAATAAATCAATAAATTTAACATACTATAATAATAGAGTCAAAGACAAAAGCCATGTTATCACCTCAGTAGACAGGGGAAAAGCATTTGACAAAGTGCAACACCTATTCATGATAAAACCCTATAAAAAATGGAATAGATGCTCTTTATCTCAATCAGATAAAAGCTACCTATGACAAACCGACAGCCAACATCACACTGACTGGACAAAAGCTGAAAGCTTTCACTCTAAAATCAGGAAGAAGACAAGGATGTCCACTGTTACCACTCTTATTCAGTACAGTTATGGAAACATTAGCCAGAAAAATTAGACAAGAGAAATAAAAACAATAAATGACAGGAAAGAAATGTTAAATTATTATTTGTGGGTAACATGATACTCTACATAGAATACCCCAAAAACTGCACAAAAAGACTTCTAGATTTTTTTTTTTTCTGGTACCAGGGATTGAACTCAGAGACGTCTAGATTTAATAACCAAATTTGGTAGCACAGCTGGATACAAAGTCAACACTCAAAGTCAACACTCACGCCTTCCTGTATGTGAATAACAAAATGATTGAGAAATAAATTAGTGAAACCATGCTTTTCGCAATAGCATTCTCCCAGTAAGAAATACTTAGGAATCAATCTAATAAAGGTAGTAAAAGACCTCTACACTTAAAACTGTAGTACTCTGAAAAGAGATTGAAGATATCAGAAAATGGAAAAATATCCCTTGTTCTTGGGTAGGAATAACCGAAAAAACAAAAATGACCAGACTTCGAAAATTGTTACATAGATTCAATGTAATCCTGATCAAAATTCCAATAGCATATCTCACAGAATTAAAGAAAATGAAAATTTCTTTGAAACCAGAAGAGACCCAGCAAAGGCAATTCTAGGCAACAAAGGCAAGGCAGGGGCCATTGTAATGCCAGACTTGAAATTAACTTCAAAGCTATTATGATAAAAACAGCATGGTACTGGCAAAAAAAATCCCCAAATTTAACAATCAAGGGGGCCTGCCCCTTAGCTCAGTTCTTTAAGTGGCTGCTTCAACAAAGCAGTCAGGCTCAGGTTGCTGTGGTTTGATCCCCACAACAAATTTAACAATCGATGAAGACTGAGAGTGGTGGTGTGCGCCTAGAATCCCAGCTCTTGGGAGGCTGTAAACAGGCAGATCAATACAAGTCCAATCTAGTGGTGAGACCCTGAACACCCTGTAGACCCCTCCCTAAAAAATATAAAACAAAACAAAGAAAGAAAAAATGGAACCCAAGCTTTTGTAAATGGGGAGGGAAAGACAGGTTGAAGGGGAGGTATAAGGGAATGAAAAAATAAAGTAATACACAATACATATATCATGTACAGGTACAAATTCTCTATCATGAATGTGATCATTTACGTAAAGCTAAACATACCAATAAAATCTGACTGGAAGAAAAAAAATAAAGCAAAGGGTGTGTAATGGTTGATACATTGTGTCAACTTGAGAAGTTTCAAAGTTTAACTAATCCATTCAGCAGAAGTCAAGATCCGCACTTGTAAACGCCCTGAGCCTATGCAAGAGGAGGGCACTGAGGTGGTGTGAGTGCACTGAGGTGGTGTGAGTGCTACACCCATGAGATGGATTTTTTTTTTTTTTTTTTTTTTTTTTTTTTGCAGAACCGGGGATTGAACTCAGACCCTTGTGCTTGCTGGGAAAGCGCTTATTCTACTGAGCCATCTCCCCAGCCCCATATGTGCTTTTTTTTCTTTTTCTTTTTCTTTTTTTCTTTCTTTTTTTTTTTTTTGGCAGAACTAGGGATTGAACTCAGGCCCTTGCACTTGCCAGGCAAGTGCTTATTCTACTGAGCTATCTCCTTGGTCCCTCATAATCTTAATGGTTGACCACAGTTTTGTCCCATCTCATGCCCACCTTGCTATTTCTTATTTTTCCTACGTTAGACCAGCATAATCCAAGTTGTAGATTTGCTCTATAAAAATCCCTGGATATGTCAGGTTACTTGGCAACCTTCTCAGGACCCCTCCTGTCTCTCAGACAGAAACTATCTTTCCTCCAAAAAACATATTCTGCTGTTAACCTCCACTGTTTCTAAAATTCATTCTTCAATTTTAGAGAATACCAACTTGTCCCAGACATCTAGTAGATTGGGAGTTTCTTTCCCCTATATCAATCCTGTCTATAATCCTGTCTGAGAATCTCTTCTTCTAATATAGAACACAGGAAGAAGTTACAATGTAGTGTTTCTTTAATAAGGCCAAGGTTGGGGCCAAGGAGATGGCTCAGTAGACTAAGCGCTTTCCTGGCAAGCACAAGGGCCTGAGTTCAATCCCCGGTTCCGCAAAAAGAAAAAAAAAAAAAAAAAAAAAATAAGGCCAAGGTTTCAATTCCACAGTGAAATAACAACTGCAAAAGCAAACATCCCAGATACCTTCCAAAAGTGAGGAAAAAAACTAAATCAACAGGGGCGAATTATTAAGTAGAATGAGGGAACAGTAATCCCTCCTTTTTAGACTTTACTAGGAAGATAGCTGGAGAACTGTGATCACTTCTTGGATATAAATAGCATACACTTAACTGGAACAGGTTCAGAAGAGGACAAAGATTTATAAGAAATTTTAAGCAATATGAAACACGAACAGGTAAAGAAGTATTTGCCAGGTGTGGTGGTCACACACCTGTAATCCCAGCTACTTGGGAGGCTGAGGCAAAAGGATCAATTGAGACCCTGTCTTAAAATTACATACACACATACATACACGTTACATGTATGCACACATGCAATAAAATGTGTTGTGGATGCAGTTCATTGGAAGAGCATTTGCCTAGCATGTGCAAGGTCCTAGGTTCAATCTCTAGTACTATTTAAAAAAATTACTGCTTGGAACATATGACTGCCTTTTTTTTTTTTTACTGCCTTTTTAAGATATTTAAGTGAGAACTGAATTTGCTCTAAGCAGACAAAGGAAGAGCTAGACAATGGAAAATACAAAAAGACAGAATTCCATATGCAATGAGAAACTGCCTAACAGTTAAAAGGGGATATCCAAGAGATGGAATGCACTGTTTTGATAGAATGAAAATTTCCTGAAGGGGCTTGAACAGAGTTTCTACTACTATCAAAAATTTATTTCACACTGAGGTAAATTCAGATAAAATATATTCCTAGTTTATGGAGAGCTACAAATTCCAGAAGAATTTATACTTTATTCTGGAAACAATGAAAATAAAGTAAGTATCTGTGATTATTACTAATGGATTAAAAGCAAATTTTAGGAAGAAATAGTAAAATTTTGGACTACAGAATTTTTCCAAGAACCAGAAGAATAAGGCTCAATTATTATCTGCTACACAAATAGTATTTCTAAAGGAATTAAGGCCACTGCCATCCTAGCCCCAAACAGCTCCTCTTCATAAAAACCCCAGTGCAACAATGATGGTTTAATAAACACAGCCCCAACAACCAGTCTCCTATTAACCAGCCCAGCCACAACTACTAAGCAGAAACAACTTCTTCTCCAGCCCAGTTAAGTCTCCTAGCCTATAAGAGATTAGCCGTTCTGGTATTTGTTTACCAGCGCTTCCTCTCAGGTTTTTTGTTCTTAAGAGGGCTTTCACTAAGCAGTTTAGTTGCCCTTGAACTCACAGCAATCTTCCTCCCTCAGCCCACACAGTGCCCCTTTTAGTTTCGACTCTAATCTGTCTTCGATTGCAGAGCTCAATTTCTTTTTCTAACAATTTTTTATTGGTATCATTTACTTTATAAAAAGTTTTAAGATTAAAATGAGGCAAAATTAGCAAAGCTCCTTAACATAAAATTACTGCTAAATTTCACATAATCCTTGTGAAAGCAAATTATACAGTATCTACTGAACATGTGTGCAAAATGTTAATTTTCTCTAAAATATCTCAGAATATTAAAACAGTACTGATAGTCACAGTAGAGAGATTTTCTAGCCTCCAGGGCAGATCAAGGATTTTAACTGAGTTAACAATAATAACTTTAAGTACAGCCACTAGGAGTTGGTATTTGTCTTGCTTTGCATAATATAATTTATGTACAATTTGACTAAGGAGCAAATTTGAGTCATGATGGCTACAGGCCACTTCACTACTGACTTTATCCACCATCTCTATTTGTACTGTGGATGTGACAACATTAACAAATTACCTTTAAACAAAAGACTTCTACACTACATTTATATGAGGAAATTAAGGAATTTGAAAAGGTCTTAAAGAATTAAGCTCAGTAATACCTACAATCTACGTGTCGTCCAGAAATCTAGCAAATGCTTTTCTGTTTTTTTGCTTATTTTCTGCAGTTCTAGGATTGAACCCAAGCCTTTGCACATGCTAGCAAGCAATCTATAACTAAGATACACCCAACTCTATTTTTAAAAAGATTAAATTATTTCTAAATTGGATTGGAAGTCTACTTGTTTTCACCTTCTATAATCTATAGTCACCAGATGTGGATATAACTGGAACACCCCTCACCTAGAAATAATCATATATGCCTTTGAATTTTTTTAAAAAAACAGCAACTAAATGAAATATACTTATTACATATTTCTAAAATAATTTTTGAAATCTGTGATTTAAGCAAGTTATTTTTCTCAACTTATAATAGTCACAATCTATTATAAATCAGATTCCCTTTTAGGTGCAATGATCCCAAATGTGGTTTATTGTGTTATTTCCTGGGTAACACTCCTCAATTAAGAAGCAGCTGATAAGCAATGATGACTCAGTACATATATATAAAGGGAAATAAAATGTTAATCAGCAGGCAAGAAGATTGCCATGTGAGGCCAAGCTGGGCTATATAGTGAGTTCAAGGACAGTATGAACTACATATCAAGGCCCTATTTCAAAAAACAAAAACAAAATTTAAATCAACAGGTCATCTGACAATGTAGTACATACTAAGAGACTGCACAAGAACCCCAACATATGTGAATGGAAGTGAGTAAAAGGTGTGTTTATTACAACGGTGACCCCAAGTGCCTGTGACAGGCCTCTCCTCAGTACTTACTTTATTAACTTTGATTTAAACCCAGGAAGACACTTCACTGAAGACGTTTACAGACTTCCACTGATATTGGTGGGGAACTGGTTTCAGCACCCATCCCTCTAGCATGTATAAAAGGCTTATTTGCATCTAGTCTATGTACATCCTCCAGCATACTTTAAATCAACTTTGGACTTAAGACCTAATACAATGCAGGATTTTTTTTGCGGGGGGGTAGCTGGCTCAGGCTGCCTTAAGGGTGGATCTGGCTAGGCACATGGAGCTGGGGATTGAACTGTGTTATCCTGTGCCTGACTGTGTTTGCATAAGCAGGCACTTAAACAACTGAGCTAACCAGCAGGCCCCTACAATGCAAATGCTATGTAAATACTTATTATCCTATACTATTTCAAAAAAACAAGAAAAAGTTTGTGTTCAGTATAGACTCAACTTCTTCAAATACTTTCCTTATGCAGTTGGTTGACTCTATAGATGTGAAACCCTTGAACACAGAGAGCTCACTGTATTAACATAAAGTAGTAACAGTACTTTGTACTCACCCCATCATTATAATGAGATTCCCAGATAACCAAAAAGATCAGTCAGAAGTTTACTTACAAAACAGAACAAATACCCACACTGTATTTTGCCCTTACATTTTGACTCCAATCACTTACTTTAGATCACATATAACTGCATATACTCTTCCCAATTTGTCCTGGCTATAACCTTGGAAGTTGAATTTATTGTTCCTGTCCAAGTACTCAGGTAAAACTTCTAGTAGAGTTTCAGTAATGACAGAGATAACATTCCGCTCTTCTATAAGATGTCGAGCCTATAGAATATTTCAAGAATATTGTCTTTAACAATTAATTATAGCAAGGACTTTATTCATTAATTGGGTTAGTAAGTAATTTTTAGTAAGTATTTATTGAGCAGTAAACACAGTTCTCAGTTTCAGAGAACAACAATTTATGAAAAAGTTAATTTCTATCAATAAAAACCCAAAAAAATAAAAAAAAAAAATGAAAGTGCCTGAACTATAAAAAAAATAAATAAATAAAAAATAAAAACCCTCTCCCCTCAGTAACTAAAAAACACTTGTGTTTGGATACGCTAAGCTCACTATTCAGGTTATCTTTATCAACATTTATCATCAGTAATCAAACATAGATGTTCTTCAATCACATTAGTATCTATAAAGTATCTATTCTGGCATTTCTCCCACACCTCCAATCCAGCGGCTCTTTCTCATCCTTTTCTCTGGCATATATATATATGCCAGTAATTGGTCACCACCCTTGTCCAGATGTCCTGATCTCTGCAGGCGCCATCCAAAGCTGACTTCTCACTTTCTAGAGTAATTTAGAAGCACTGCTTTTTCCATGCCAAAACTATATAATATATATAATTTTTTGTGGGGGGGGGCAGAACTGGGGATTGAACTCAGGACCTTGCACTAGCCAGGCAGGCACTTATTCTACTGAGCTATCTTCCTGGCCCCTTCTCTGGCCTTTTGAAAAGGAAAAGAAAGAAATGTTAATCAAACTGCCCAACAGAACTAGGAAAATAATAGTATAAAAAAGAGGCAGAGGCTTAAGAGAAAAATGGAATCCCATCATTTTTTCTTACACATTCCCCAGAAAATTGGTGACCAAGGCAGTGAAGTTGATCCTGTTAAGAGTAGACATCTAATTTCTGGTACAACTCCCAATGTTCATTGTCCTTTGTATGGGAGACCCTGACCATGTCTTGGCCATTTACTGTCAACCTTAAACCACTGAGACTCCCTAAAAGCTGTGAGCTACAAATTCACATGAAAGTAGAGAAAAACATGGACAGACATAAAGGTTGTGTACGTGTTGGCTCTGTGACATCTAGGAATAGTTCTGAACAGAGGAAGGGTGTTTCCAATTCCTGTGTTGGTTCTAGGTCACAACCAAATAAAGTCGGTTTCAGAATTCAAAAAAAAAAAAAAAAGAGGCAGAATCCTCCATTTTCCTCCCAAGCCTATACAGCACAATTTCATACATCTGTATACATCTTGACAGATACACTCTCTCTTTTGTTTGTCTTATCTTACTCTATTTCCAAACAAAAACTAAAAAAAGTAAAATTTTAAAAAAAGTTTTGGCATGGAAAAAGCAGTGCTTCTAAATTACTCTAGAAAGTGAGAAGTCAGCTTTGGATGGCGCCTGCAGAGATCAGGACATCTGGACAAGGGCAGTGACCAACTAGTCTCGAACACCACTAAAGTACAGTTTTCATGAAAATATGACTAAAGTATTTTCAGCTTTCCAAGTGAAATTAGCCTAACTTAGAAATTCTGACATTGTTTTATTTTTATCTCTCTCTCTTTTTTTTTTCTTCTGTCTTTTTGAGACAAGGTCTCACTATGCAGTTCAGACTGGCCTTGAGCTCACTTTGCAACCCACGCTGGTCTTGAACTTGCACGGATCCTCCTCTCTCAGTCTCCCAAGTGCTGGGCTTACAGGTGTGTGGCTCTAACATTGTTTTTAATTTAATTACCGTTAAGAGAAACTAGTAAAAGGCAAAAATCATTCTGACTTAACCTGCAAAGAAAGAATTGACACATACCAGAGTAGGCACAGTGAACATCTGAACTGAAAGTGCAGTTATAGAGATGCTTCTGTCATGATCATCACTAATGTATTCTTTCTGCAGTTGTTTATAATACTGAAAAATACAAGTGGAGAATCAATTACAACACTATTAAATCACTACTATTTTTAAATCTTGATTTTTGCTTCGTGGTGGATTAAGGAATGATTTAGTCAACAAAAATGTTCTAGAAAGAAAACAATACAAAAGAACAGGCCAAGACCAAAAAAAAAAAGGTCAGGCCGGACATAGTAGCACACACCTGTAATCTCAGCACTGAGGCAGCCGAGGCAGGAAGATTGCTCAAGGCTGGCCTGGGTTATAGAGTGAACTCAAGGTCAACCTGAACTGCACAGTGAAACCCTGTCTCAAAAAAAAAAGAATTGAACTCTGCTACCCAATTCATTTTTTAAAAATTAATTTTACTGAGAAAAATAGCAATGAGACAGTTTCAAAACAGGTTAGTAGGACAGTTACAATAAGTAACACATTGCATATCGTTCAGCTACCCAATTCAGCAGAACTGGAAGAGCTGGTAAAACAAAATACACAGGTAAAAAATCATACAGGAGGTACAGTGATACAGTTTTTCCTTTTTGCAAATAATATGGAACAATTTCTAGCAGTTTCTACTCCAATAGTATAGGGTAAAAGATATATTTAAAGTATTTAACAACTGATATAACCCAGAAAACCAGCCAACCAGATTCAATCCACCCTTAAATGGATTATATGCTGGCTGCAAATAATTTTTTATCTATACTGGTACATACCAACTGAAAATCCCCCAAAATAATATACTTAGTCATGTATCAAGCATCTATTACATGTAAGCACAGAGTTGGATACCTGATATACATTTTTAAAAATATACTTATTTGTTACAGGGTCTCACTATGCCGTTCAGACTCCTAGTGATCCTCCTGTCTCAGCCTCCCCAGAGCTGGAATTACAGGCGTGCCCCACCACACCTGATTTTGGGCTAGAATAGGATGCAGTACCAGGGAATGAACCTGGGTCCTTGCGCTTGCCAGGCAGGCACTTAAGACTGCTGAGCTATCTCCCCAACCCGTGATAGACATTTTAAATTTAACCCTCCAGAATTTCTACAGAGTTCAACTATGCCATATAAAAAAATTATCATCTAAGTAAAAAAGTTAGTTTTAGTGTAAGAAAATAAAATTTCATTTCAGAACATATAGCCCAAAGTCATTAGTCTATCTCTAATGACTCTCACATTGAGTTACATCTCCAGTTCTTTATCTTTTCTTTTCTTTTTTGTTACTTTGAAACAAGGACTCACATTACTAAATTGCTCATGCTAGGCCCCAATTTTTAATCCTCCTGCTTCAGTCTCTCAGGTTTCCAGGATTGCAGGCATACATTACAGTACCAAGTAATTCAGGTACTCTATCCTGCCATACCAGAAGAATGGCCTACGACAATTATTATTTCTCTCTCTCCTTCTAATTCTATCCTGGGTCCCACCTTGCCCTATTTTAAGTCTTACGGAATTATCTGTAACTCAAAAGCAGAAGAAATCAGTAAGTATTTGTTGTAAACCTTTGTAAAAGGCAAAGTATAAAATTCACAGAAGTTCCTGTTCTATGTAATATTGCAGCCTATCTTGAAAGATGGACAGAAAGCTAGTACTATAAAAGATATACAACAGACCAATAAAACAACATTTAAAAAGGTGAGTTTTTACTCATGTTTTAGTTTCAGTTAGGTGTAACTTTTAGGAACCTAACTCCTGCTTCCCGTTAATGTACATATCTTTTCCTGTTCTGGCTGTTCTCTGAAATTAATCACTTATACTGATATTATCATTTTACCAACAGGGAAATAAATGATGATCAAAAAGAACAAATGCATATGTGAATGTGATACTCTCTTCATTCTAGGAAAATAAGGCATTTTCCATCTATGCACAAGACTAGTACTTCCACATTACCAAGTGCCATTTGTAAATATGTTAAGGTAACATAAAATAATGAACTTTGACAATGAAAGCAGAAAATTCAATTCTTTCTATTCATAATTATCTTTGTTTCTATTAGTTCATTTATAAAAACTGCCTTCTATCTATTGATATTTATAAATAGCAATTACCTTCACAAATTCCATAGCAAAGAGTTTTTTGTATTCCATCTCCATAAAAAAACTGCTGAAGATCAATTCATGAAGGATCTTACGGGCACCTATATATCATTTAGGATTGGGGGTAAGAAGATATTGCCAAGGCAAAAACATTATTCTAGTCTTTAGAAATAGTAAAATATTATAAAAATATTTCACATGCTAATAGACCTCAAGGACAATTATGAATAGCATTTATTACAGTAATATTTTATTTTTTACAATATCTAGTGTGCTTTTTGGATTTTATTTACTCTTTTAGGTTCTTACAGTAGGGAGACAATACAATGTTTACACATGTGGGTCTGATTTATTTCACTTATGAGGATGGTCTCTAGTTGCATACATTTACCTATAAAAGCCTCAAGTTTATCTTTTTATAGCTGCAAATACTCCATTATATAAAAATACATCTTTTTTTATCCACTTTTCAGTTGGGCATTTAGGTTGTTTCCAAGATTTAGCTATGACAAACTGTGTTGCTATAAACATGGGTGCACATATATCATTGTGGTATATTTTCAGTTTTTCTGGAAAAATACCCAGAAGGGGAATAGCTGGGTTGTTAGCAGTTAAATTAAAAAATTACGGAGTGCTGTGTATAAAAGGAATCTATATGTAGGTATATATACTGCCTTTCTTCTTTTGCACTTTTTTTGGGGGGAGGGGCAGCTTGAACTGAGCTATAGCCCCAGCCCATTAAAAAATAATTTAGTACTGGGTGTGATGGTGTACACCTGTAATTTCAGTACTCAGGAGGCCAAGGCAGGATTGCCATGAATTTGAGGCAAACCTAGACTACATAGTGAGTTTAAGACCAACCCAAACTACACAGCAAGACCCTGAAGAAATCAAACCAAACCAAACCAAAACAAAAATTTAAGGCAGGTTCTCTTATTATGTCACTAAATTGTCTACAGGAGGCTCAAACTTGTGATCCTCTCTGGATACTAGGATTATAGTCAAGCATTAAAATGCCTGGTCTCTGTTTTACTTTTTATGTTGAGATAAGGTCTCACTAATTTCTCCAGGCTTCCCTTTGAACTCAAAATCCTATTGCCTCAGCCTTCTGAAGATATGGGCTTATAGGCATGCACCACTATGATTGGCTTTTATTT